AGTTATAGAGGAACTAAACCTATTGAATTAAAAGAACAGCATAGGAATTAAACAAAAAGGTGGATGCAGCACCGCCTCTAAGACCGAGAACTGAGTAATCAAAGACTGCTGACCATTCAGTTCTCAGTCTTCAGTGAGTCGAGAGCTGTCAGTCATCAGCACTCTGCTCTGCCCCTCCTGCATTTACTGGAGTGCTGGGCTGTGGAGAGGGTGGGAACAGCTAGCTCAGACTTTCAGCGACACTCTGAGAAGATGAGCCAGCTGCCGGTCAGAAATCTAAATTGGCATCTGCTCAGAGCCTGGACAGCCTCAGTGTCGTCAGCCAACAGCAGGCTTTAGCCTGCTATCGGCTGAAAGTGGGTCACAGGAGTGCAGAACTAAGTGCTCTCCTGTGACCCACAGGAGAAGAAGTAATGCAAAAAGAGCTTTGGCTCTAACTCTCCTTTACCAGTTTGCTTAAACAGTTACATTCAAGGCAAGCCTTGAATAAGAACTTTTGCAGTTACTAGTGTACTTCTGCTAGTTCTCAACTAACCTGTCCAGCCATCAAATGGCAAAGCTGATCACACGTGTAGCAACATGGCAATTGCAAATCACACAGAAGCTAAGAAGGCAGCTTCCTTGTCTGTATAGGATAGGAGGGTTTAATTCCACTTTAAAGCTGTCCTTGAACAAAAGAAAAAAACAAAACAAAGATCTACTTATTTATTCACAGCCCTTTCCACCAAAAAATATTTGTTGGGGAAAAATGTTTCAGATAATAAAGTTTTCTTACTCCCGAAATTCCACCTGCGTTACCTAGGCAAGGGTGATGTTATTCTTCTGGCAAGATCTTTTGAGATTGCAGGCGTCCCAAACCCCATGAAATGAGGCTATTGCACTGTACTAGATCATCGCCTTGTGCGATTTGGGTAGTTTGCATTGCCCTGGATCTCACTGAAGGATGGTGAAGTCACCTCCTGAAGAACGGAAGCCAGGTAATGGTAAGTATATTTACTAAACACTTACCCCCATGAGAATGTATGTATAGCTACATTTGTTTTCTTTTTTTTTTTAAGTTCTGGATAGAGAAGGGAGGGTTTAAAAACCCATTTAGTTTACCTTTTGCTGTCTGTGTTTCATTAGGGAGATTTCCTTTCACTTCCTGTCCCAGAGATACAACAAGAATTTAGCAAATTTCTACAAACTATTCCCTTCTTCCCTCTTGACACTGGAACAGGTATGCCCTTACCTCTTGTTCTGGTGACAGCTGTGAAATTCTGAATTTGCCACCACTTTTTGCCTTGGTGGCAATGGCTACAAGGACAAACAGAGAGCGGAATCTCTCCAGTGGGGACACAGACGGCAATAAAAACTTGACAGAGGTTCTATACCTTCCCTACTCTAAAAACTGACAAAATGTTTTAGCTATACAAACATTTTATACAAAACTACCGGTGAACAGAAATACATTAAGTGTTTTCCTGCCATAGCTATATCTAATTGCTCTGGTTACTTATATGTGTGTGCAGATTAGCAACTAATCAATATATGAAAGTTGGTGCTTTGTTTATCTGTAATTACCTAACCTTCTGATATCCTAAGAAGAATACAGTCATATACAATATAAACGATCCATGTACTTAGGAAAAATGTGAAATAAATGAAGGACCAGACTTTATGAATTTTAAACTAAAAGACCAGGAAAATTGTGGCATTGTAGCGGGGACATTTACAATTCAGTATACAGAGTCCCATAGCTGCACATAGCTATTTACAATCAATGCTTTCCTACATTGGTGCATTTTTAAACCAAGAAATCCAGGTTATCAGCAGGTATCTACTTGTTTCCCCTCTCTGAAATATTTGTTACTGTAAGTAAAGGCAGTTTACTAATCAATGTTGTAAACAACTTACATTAGATATCTAGTTCCCCCGGTCCTGTACAGCCTTTTGACTGCCAATAAGAATCTTCAAAATTTTGCTTGTTGCCATGGGGATCAACTACAGAAGCAAGCAAAATGTGAGCAATTCCCAATAGGCCAAATTCATACTTCAAAAGGCAGTGCAGTCATATCAAAAACCATCGATTCTGTTTTTCCCACTTCAAAAATGTCTAATGATAAATAAAAGCACCCACACCTGGGAAGATATTATTGTATTATACAGTGAACTTTGTGATAATCGGGCTGCATTCTGTATGTGAATGATCCTATTGGGACACTGAAAGTGGTTGTAAAAGCATTTTTTTCTAAAATAACAAATACGTTATAATTACATGCTCTGTGCAATGGTTTTGCACAGAGCAGCCCTGAACCTCCTTTTCTGAGATCCCCTGCTGGCAATCTTGGCTCCTCTTTTCCTTTGTGTACCCCCCTTAGCAAGCCGCTTCTTATGGCTGCACACCTACGGGCTCGATCCTGTGCTGGGCTGTGTGCATCTATTGACACACACAGGGTATCTCAGCCCCAGCCCCGCTCTCTGCTCACAGGATTTGATTGACAGCAGCAGAAGCCAATTGCTCCCACTGTTGCCTCTGTGAGCAGAGAGAGAGGTGAGAGTTGCTGCACACTGGTACAGCACTGTATCGAGATAGGACAATACAGGAGTGTACGAAATATAATTATTTACTGCTAGGGAAGGGGATAGTTAAGTGACCCTTTTACTTTACCCTTTAACTTGAGATTCTCATTATTTAGAAAGAAATGCCCAAAATCCTCAGTATTCCATGAGTGTCTGGTGCTAATAGGGGGGCAGCAGATTACCTCTTTTCAATTCTGCTTTTTCAACCAAGATGAATTGAAGATTGGATGAAAAACTCCAACACCCCTTGCTGTAGAGCAGTGGTTCTCAACCTTCCTAATGCCATGACCCTTTAATACAGTTCCTCATGCTGTGGTGACCCCCAACCATAAAATTATTTACCCAGTAATTATAATTCATGAGTGTCGTTTTACCTCCAATACTGCTGCTTTCAACACAGTAGCTGCTTTTAACAGAGTAGCTGCTTTCAACACAGCAGCTGCTTTCTACACAGTAGCTGCTCTTTACACATCGGAAATATGTGTTTTCTGATGGTCTTAGGGGACCCCTGTGAAAGGGTCGTTCGACCCCCAAAAGGGTCGCGACCCACAGGTTGAGAACCACTGCTGTAGAGGCTTCAAGTGGTTACCCTGCATTAGGGTAAATATGTCTCAGTATTTGTATTGCTCAAAAAAGCAGAAATTAAAAGAGGTAATCTGCTGCCTCCCTATTAGCACCAGACACGCATAGAATACTGAGGAGTTTGGGTGTTTCTTTCTAAATAATGAGAATCTAAAGTTAAAGGGTAAAGTAAAAGGGTCGCTTAACTATCCCCATCCCTAGCAGTACATAATTATATTTCATTTTCTGCTGCACTGCTGTATTCACCCACATCAACTGGGGAAGGAAAGCCATGTGAAAGCTACAAATCAACTTGCTGGAGTTCAAACGGAGCTTTAGACTACTTCCTGGGCCCCATGTGGCAGTACTGGGCCATTTAAAAGGCACTTCATGCTGTCACATAGCAGAAGGACAGTGAATCACAAGCTTACCTAAAGTTAAGTGCCTCTTCTACTTTGCCCAGATTGGAGAAAGAGAACCAGTTAAGTAATAAATGCCATTTTAAGAAATGTTGACATTTCTACTGCCTTGACTTAAAATAACAAGGTAGCCAGTGCAAAAAAAGTGGAGTTATGCTTTAAAAACGGTTATTGTACAAAAATGTGTCGATTATATACAGCAATGAAAATTCCTGCATTGTGAGAATAAAGACTTACAGGTAAGTTATTACAATGCAGGTTAGGACCACCTGTGATTAGCCAGCTACTACAACTCCCAGCATGCTTCTCTAGCCAGAGAGTGCATAAATCTGTCACAAACATCAAACACATTTCTATTTTAATACAAACAGTCATTGAGGCGCATTATGCGACTTCGGGAAGGTGCAAAATTTGGGGCTGCTGAATGCTTCTTTACACATTGGTATAAATGTTTATGTACAAAATATGCCAAGCCCCAATGAAATGGATCAAAAAAACTCCCATTTACCCCATAAGATAAATATGGACAAATATCTACATCTTGTAATAAAAAAGTCACAACGTAAATTGCTACATTTCTTACTATGTGTATAAAGTGAAATTTCACAGAAGCATAACTGGGGTACAATGAACAGCAAACAAAATAAAGTGTGAATGTGTATACATACTATATATGTATATAAAAAAAAACAAATAATATACATGTCTCATGTATGGAAAAAAGGTCAGAACAATAAAGAGAGAAAAACTTGCCAGCGCTCATCCTTCAAGTGGACTGATACTTTGTATCACAAGGTGCTTCAGGTTCCGCCGAGCTGTCGGAGAACAGAATAGGCATAGGGCCAAGTGCAGAAAATTCTACTACCAAATGGGCGAATCAAAAGGAGAGAAGATGGCTCAGATTGCCAAGTTGGTAAAAAAATAATTGGGCACATAACTTCTAAAAGACATGTACACATATCCACAAGGCTATTTGTACAAACATTCTTGTTACCCTTACTGACTTGCCACAAACATTGAATTATGGGAACCTGATAAAAATAAAACGAGCAAAGAAAGGACTCCCTTTCAAACATAATAAGGACTTGGGTTGCTCTAGGCAACAGTTCACATCAGGTCCATTTTTTCTTTTTTAATTTCCTCAAAGTGATTGCTAATGTTGGAACAATGACAGCTGGAAACTGATCAGTTGCTATGAGCAACAATTTCCTTTAAAACATTCTTGTACATGAAAACCCGCAATGCTCAGTATACAAACACTGACTACTTTACATGGAATCCACTGCGTCATATCTCCTACAGACCATTCAGCATTGCTTAATATGTTTGTGTTGGGTAACCTCCTACTTTCTAGATATTCCCTTCTACTGATGACTCTGGGAACATCCTCTCCTCTGCTCCAGGCCCCTTTGGTTGGGTAGAGAATGTTCAGGTGTGGTGGATTCTGGGGGGTTTGGTTCATCCCTTGTCATGATTTGTAGGCGTCTTCTCACCACCCCTCTGAAAAACAAGAGACAGGTACAAGGTTGAAAATTTTCTTTATATAATAAAGTTTTGTTTTTACCATGGATGTTAGGTATGAAATTATTGCCACCTCTTAAAGGGTACCTCCACTTTTGTGGGGCAAAAATAGTGAAAAGAAAATATATAGCATATAGAATTGCGACACAAGCCATATTGTGATTGAATGTTATTAAAAAATTACCTTTCCTTTTCAATCTGCAGCCGCTGTACTTTTCTGTAAAAATGCAATGCAATACGGCTATCTGGAGGCATTCTGTACACAGATGGTGTACTGAATGCCCACCAGATATGTAATTTCTTGTTTAAATGATTGGCTCACTGATTTTTCCCAGAAATCTGCACTAAGATTCAAGTCAGATTTTGAGCATCCCCTGCAATAAAAAATTTGTCATTTTTCACGAGGTACTCCCAAAGGGAAATCACATCTAAAAGGATGCACAACTGGCCAATTTCCTCATTAGAGGCCTGCAGATGCAGCAGCTGATTGATAATTATGAAGTCACTCCCATATAGATTCACTCTGCACGTGGACACAAACTGTCATTTCTTCAGAAAAACAAAAGGTAGAATTTGCAATATTTTGTTAAGATCCTTGCAATATACATAGATCTCCCAGACGGGAATGTTTATTATATACAAAAAAACCTTTTTGGTGATGCAATAAATCCCACATTGAATTCAAAATCCTACATATACCAAATGATCTAGTATAATATAAATACACCAACTCAAAATAGTCCAATGTGAACTCCAAAATTATGCCCAAAAATTGTCCAAAAATTGTCCAAAATAAATCCAATATAGTGTCCTAATTCCAATCTTTTCTTTCCAATCTGTGAAAATTATTCCTCCAAACACGTGCCTCGAGAAATAAAAATAAACAATCTAGTGCATTTTTATTTCTCGAGGTACGTGTTTGGAGGAATAATTTTCACAGATTGGAAAGAAAAGATTGGAATTAGGACACTATATTGGATTTATTTTGGACAATTTTTGGACAATTTTTGGGCATAATTTTGGAGTTCACATTGGACTATTTTGAGTTGGTGTATTTATATTATACTAGATCATTTGGTATATGTAGGATTTTGAATTCAATGTGGGATTTATTGCATCACCAAAAAGGTTTTTTTTGTATATATTTAACACTTTCTAGGGTGGAAAGTATTGACTTTTTGAGGGTATAAGGAGGTCATATATATAATTAATAATTGGGAATGTTTATTGCTCAACAAATGTGGAGATACGCTTTAACCCCTGGTTCACTTCTGTGTGGCCGTGCGGACCGCGATTTGCGCGAGCATGAGAGCCCATTCATCTGAATGGAATCCCATGCCCCGGGACACGCAGGGAAGAAGTCCCTGCACTACTTGGGAAATCGCAACCCGCACAGGAACCGAATTTCCAGTGCGGGCGGCGTGCCATTAGAATTAATGGCACCCGCCCACGGGTCCTGCATTCCTGTGTGGGTGGTGCGGCTGCAAGTATTTGTGTGGGTCCCGCAGTGGCACCACCCGCACAGATGTGAACCAAGTCTAACTCTGTTACTCTTTAACAGTGCTAAATTTAGCACTGTATGCTATTTGTTGTCAGTGGTGCTTTTTAGACATACTATAGACTGGATCCCTGGGATCTCACTGCCAAACTACAAGTTTCATACCTCCTTTTGACACTTCTCTTAAAATGTATGTAAAAGGGACACATTTCTTTCTTTTTTACAATTTGGATAGAATGGGGGTGGGTAGGATCCTTTGTAAAGTTTTATTGTTTTATGTGCCCCCCCATTAGAAAATTACCCCGATGTGGTGAAATTCAGGATTTTAGAACTGTAACTAGAACAAAAGGTGAAAGTAAATATTCCAAGAATGACACCTGTTCCAGTGACAACTGTCTAAGAGGGGAACCTCACGTTGTCAGATTTCTTGTAAATTCCAGTTACATCTATGGGACATGAAGTCAATGAAATCTCCCCAAACTGGCTTTATCCACACTTTAATTACATCATATGAATCAAGTTAAAGCTGTGGCTGTACATCTGCTGTTGTGCACAACTTTTTATGTCTCCATCTTTTCTGTGAAATATGCAGTATCAATGGGAACGTCTCTGCAGACAGGTCTATTGTATTTCCCTCACAAACTGCTCACACTACACTCAGAAAAGTCCTGCTAGATCACATCAGGATGGCCCCTTTTGCAGGTATAACTATGTAAAACATTAAGAATAAGTGACTATATGGTTTAAAGTCCAGTAATACATTGTTTCACCCTCCTCTGCACATGCTCAGTTGCTCCCTATTTTTAGGCACAATGCTGAAAATGTACATGCTGATATGCTGACGGGTAGTTCACACTACATGCAGTCCAGTGAGTTTTTTTCTGCATCAAAAATGCATGCACAGTGTTTTCCATGTATTCCAATGGCCCTGGTTCACACCAGTGCAGTCAGTTCCTGTCAGTTTCCCATGCAGAAAAAAGTAGAACATGCTGCATTTTTCTGCACAGAACCATACTGGAACATAGCAAACTACATCAAAACTGCTCCGGAACGGAGTGTGGTGTGTACTGTAAGCAAAAATGTATCCAGAATAAATCCGGATTGCATTTTTTTTGTGTGTGAACTGGCCCTAAAGATTTATTGCTGCTCATAGGCTCTGGGCTTCAGCAAAATGGCAGCCTCCAGCAAGAAAAAACAGGAGCCATGCTTGGAGACACACTAATTTTGGTAGCATAATTGTTATTGTGGAATGTATGTTCCTTGCTAAAGTTGTTTTATCAAGTTGTTATGGGTACCGTTCCACTTTAGCTGCACTTGCTCAATAATACATCTGGCCAATCAGTAACATGTGGCTCCAGCCCCATACAGAAAGCATGCAGACCTGGTAAAAAGCTTTAAGGTCCCATGCACATAGGGCATTTTCCCAGCTCTCCTAAATGCCTTTCTTTTTGGCAGCAGTGTTTTGGCACAAAAAAACGCTTGACGTGTGTAAGCACATCAAGCACTTGGGTGCAAATTAATATAATTGGTCAGAATAAAAGTTTCTTCTGGCCACTGAAATGAATTCATGCTCAAGCGTTTCACGTACCTAGTGTTAACATGTGTCAATCGGTTTTTCTGCCAAAACTCTGCTGCTCCTGGACGCACTAACAGAGTTTTTTTTTCTGTCTCTAAATACCCCAGTTATTCCACTACATAGCTTGGTGTCATCTGCAAAGACTGAAATGGTACTTTTAATCCCAGACCCAACATCATTTATAAATGTATTAAAAAGTAAGGGTCCCAACACTGAACCTTGAGGTACACCACTAAGAACCCTGGATGATTACAGTATGAATCAATAATCAATAATCTCTGAATACAGTCTTTTATCCTTTTTTTATCCATTTACAAATGGAAATTTCTAAGCCTGTAAATTTTAATTTACACATTAGCGGTGTGGGGAACCGTGTGAAATGCTTTGGCAAAATTCAAGTATACTATGCCCACAGCCAATCCTTTGTCTATGTTTTTGCATACCTTCTCATAAAAAGAAATCAGATTTGTCTAACAAACTTTTGTTTTTCATAAATCCATGCGGACTATTGATTAAAATATTGTTTTCTAGCAAAAACTCTTGCTAGTAGAGGACTTCAGCCTCTCCATTGTATACACAGAGCTGAAGAAAGTATTCAATAAATTAGCCTTCTCCATGTCCTGTCCTCAGTAACAAACTTATATAGTAAAAGGCCTTGACCTTTTTACTATTCATATATTTGAAGAATGTTTTGGGCTCTGTTCTAATCTCTCTTGCAATCTGTTGTTCATTTTCAATTTTTGTGGCCTTGATTGCCTTTTTCCATATTCTGTTATATTCTCTGTAACATTTAAATGGTGATATTGTTCCTTCATTTTTATATTTTTTAAAAGCTTTATTATTTATAGCTATTTTAATTCTGGACGCAAGCAACGTAGGCTTTATTTTAGCCTTTTAAACTTATTGCCCATGAGAATATATTTTGCAATGTGCTAGCACACATTCGATTTGAGACATTTCCATTTCTATTCTTTGATGAAAATATTCCCTCCCAGTTTTGGAAAGCAGCCTTGGAAAATTTGCTGTCTTAAAATTAAGCATTTTTATCTTTTCAATATACAGTGAGGAACAGAAGTATTTGAACACCCTGCGATTTTGCAAGTTCTCCCACTTAGAAATCATGGAGGGGTCTAAAATTCACATTGTAGGTGCATTCCCACTCTGAGAGACAGAATTAAAAAAAAACATTTCAGGAAATCACATTGTATGATTTTTAAAGAATTTATTTGTCTTGCACTGCTGAACATAAGTATTTGAACACCTAAGAAACAGCAAGAATTCTGGCTCTCAAAGACCTGTTACTGTGCCTTTAAAAAGTCCACCTCTACTCCACTCATTAATCTAACTTAGTAGCACCTGTCTGAGCTCTTTAAAGACACCTGTCCACCCCACAGTCAGTCAGACGCCAACTACTACCATGGGCAAGACCAAAGAGCTGTCAAAAGACACCAGAGACAAAATTGTGAACCTCCACAAGGCTGGAAAGGGCTACGGGGCAATTGCCAAGCAGCTTGGTGAAAACAGATCAACTGTTGGAACAATTGTTAGAAAATGGAAGAGGCTAAAGACGACTGTCAGTCTCCCTCGGACTGGGGCTCCATGCAAGATCTCACCTCGTGGGGTATCACTGATGATAAGAAAGGTGAGCAATCAGCCCAGAACTACAAGGGAGGAGCTGGTCAATGACATGAAGGGAGCTGGGACCACAGTTTCAAAGGTCACTGTCGGTAGAACACTACGCCGTCATGGTTTCAAATCATGCATTGCACGGAAGGTTTCCCTGCTCAAGTCATCACATGTCCAGGCCCGTCCGAAGTTTGCCAATGACCATCTGGATGATCCAGAGGAGGCATGGGAGAAAGTCATGTGGTCAGATGAGACCAAAGTAGAACTTTTTGGTCTAAACTTCACTCGTCGTGTTTGGAGGAAAAAGAAGGATGAGTTGCATCCCAAGAACACCATCCCTACTGTGAAGCATGGAGGTTGTAACATCATGTTTTGGGGGTGCTTTTCTGTGAAGGGAACTGGACGACTGAACTGTATTAAGGAGAGGATGAATGGGGCCATTTATTGTGAGATTTTGAGCAACAACCTCCTTCCCTCAGTCAGAGCATTGAAGATGGGTCGTGGCTGGGTCTTCCAACATGACAACGACCCAAAGCACACAGCCAGGATAACCAAGGAGTGGCTCCGTAAGAAGCATATCAAGGTTCTGGAGTGGCCTAGCCAGTCTCCAGACCTAAATCCAATAGAACATCTTTGGAGGGAGCTGAAACTCTGTGTTGCTCAGCGACAGCCCCGAAACCTGACAGATCTAGAGAAGATCTGTGTGGAGGAGTGGGACAAAATTCTTGTTGCAGTGTGTGCAAACCTGGTCAAGAACTACAGGAAACGTTTGACCTCTGTAATTGCAAACAAAGGCTTCTGTACCGAATATTAACACTGATTTTCTCAGGTGTTCAAATACTTACAAATGACAAATAAATTCTTTAAAAATCATACAATGTGATTTCCTGAAATATTTTTTAAATTCTATCTCTCAGAGTGGGAATGCACCTACAATGTGAATTTCAGACCCCTCCATGATTTCTAAGTGGGAGAACTTGCAAAATCGCAGGGTGTTCAAATACTTCTGTTCCTGACTGTATTATTAAAAATAAAAGTAAAATAACATTATCTCAAAACTGTTATAGTTAACTATAAAATTCACTTTTTTCTTTCATCATTGAAGCATTGGGAACATTTTTCTTCTACGTCCTGTTCTGTAGAGACAACAGAAAGTGAAATAAACTCTATTGCTGTTTTGGGAACTCATAATGTAAGGACAGCAATAGAAATCTGACAGCACGGAACTCCTCACCACTCTACCCTCTACCATAAAAAACAGTGTTTGGTATTTAGGCACTTTAATTGGAAGGTCCCATTATAACTGTAATAAACACATTTTATTGGTTACTATAGTTTACTGCAAATCATCATTCTGTATTACAGATGGAATTGCACAAGCCCATTTACTATGTGCTTGTCTATAATGCAGCAGTAGATAAAATATACAATCATTTTGAGAAGAAGATTGTAAAAAATGCTTTGAATTCCCTGACAAATTATTTTTTCATCAGTGACACCTACATTTTCTAAACCCTTACCTCGCCTTGAGATCCCAGGAAAGGAGGGGCTTGTGCAGTAAGGATGGGAGGGGCAGGTGAAGATGCCATAGTGCTACATGTTGTCACAGGAAGTAGAGGTGGTGCAGCTGGCGTTATCAGACGCTGAAGGTCCCGCCGCTGCTGGAGGTGCTGAACAATTTGATACAGGACATTTTGCTGATCCTGCAAAAAAACAAACAGTATCAATGATAAATGTTTGTTTAAACGATGTTTTAGCTGTATGCAGCACTTAGCAAAAAGACAGACAAACAGCAGCAACCAGTTGGCCAAAAAAGATTAACCTCTTGGCGCCGGCCGCATGCAAATGTGGGGCCTCCTGGAGTCTGGGCCTTGACGCTGAGCGGCTGCACATTTGCATGCAATTAATAAAAACATATGTGCTGAGAGCATGCGCCCTGCGCGCTCCCAGCACACGTCCAGTACTCATGGAAAGGTCCCGATCTCCTCTTGCCAATCGAGACCTTTCCCGATCATGTGAACGCTGTGACAGCGAATCACGGTGGTCGCATGACCCTAAAACCCCACTTCGCCTCCCGGCTTCTGAAACCCTTAAAGGGCCGGGAGGCGCCGGCGCCAAGGGGTTAATAAACCTGTTGCTTATAGCAAGCAATCCAGATAACAGGGAAAAAAAAGACAGCTGCAATATGGTTACTGCAGCAAGCTTTTTTTTCTTCTAGCTCTAATAATTACTAACACTATGTTTAGAGCAAGAAATGACACTTACCACAGTGAGATGAGCGGTGGTGATCTGCTGTAACTGCTGTGCTAGCTGTCTCTGCTGCTCTGACAGTGTGCTCAAAGAGGACAGGCTGTGGAGCAAGAAAAGAAAAAAGAGAACATCTTGACATCTTGGCTTAATGCAGTACAGGAAGTATTTTACATGTGTGAAACTTAAAGGGACACTTTTCAGTACCTGTAACATACAGGCAGTCCCTGAGTTACAAATATTCGACTTGCATACCAATCATACTCAAGAATGGAGGCACACGGGTCTCAGAAACTGCCGGGGCGGTCATCTTGCTGCTCACTGCATGCTGCCACCTACTGTCCATCGGACCTGTGAGTAATCCCACATCACTGCATGGCCAGTTAACCCTTCCCTATGCTATCCAAAACTTAAAAATAATTTTTTGCCTGGAGTTACACTAAAATATACCTGTTCCAACTTCCATACAAATTCTACTTAAGAACAAACCTACAGAACCTATCTTAAGGTTCTATCTTAAGGTAACCTGCCTGTATATTGATAATATTGCAAAAATGTTTTTGTTTCTTTAAATTTTGTACTCACCATAAATTACTTTTCTGTGAACCCATTGAGGGAGACAAGAAGTCTTCCCATTTGGGTTATATTTTTTCCTACAACAGGAATGGACACTTGAAAAACTTGTAGATCAGCCCAGGATAACCCCTCTTAATACCAGCATGCTTCGGTTTTGTAGCAAGCAGTACTAAGAGTATTAATATAAACACAGATGGGTGAGATATGTGTCCCTCAACACAATCCAAGAAATGGATTTTAAGGTGATAACAAAAGTCCTATTTTCTTTCTTGACCACTGAGGGACACAGGATTTCTTCACCTTCAGGATGACCAAATGTTAAAAAAAAACCCTCTATTTTTGTGGGATTTTGAAGGCACAGAAGGACAATACCAAAATTCATACATATAAAAAGTTTGATCGATTTGTATTGTTACAAAAAATGTTTCAATTTCCCAAATAAAGAAAAGGGCGGCCAAACATTGTACATCAAAACACAGATTACATTATATGTCATTAGAAGGTAGGGTTTCAAGTCAGAAAAGGACACATGACGTGTTTCCAGACATAACAATCTCTTCTTCAGACATGCCTAAATAAGAAAAGATAATATACATTTAGAAGTACATTGGTACATTCATTCAAATGAGATTCTGCTGCAGATTACATAAAGGTTACTTGCACTAACCCTACATTGGATGGTTGATGAAGAAAACCGCCACAATTTTTAAAATCAAAAGCCATCTCTTAGACAGGATCACGTGGAAAGAAATTCTGCCCTCAAGAGTGGGACAGGAGGAACAAAAGCAGTCCAACTGAGGGGTGGGAAAAAATATCAAGAGAACTAGGAACTGCCTGCAGCTGGCACTGGGTAAGGCAGATACATCATCTGGTAAGGGGAACATGATAAAAACAAGACCAGGTTGTAATATAGAATTGGGAGCTATGCCTGATGTAAGATAATGAAGAAAATGGTCTAATAACTAGTGATGTATGTCTCGATATGGGAAGTGAATACTGAACCATAGACGTGAAATCTGGGCTTGCTGATCCAACCAGAAGAGTAAAAAGAAAACCATTTTCCAACAGGAAAAGGCCTCACAGTCTTAACTGTGGTCAACAAGGAAAAATACTCCTCTCTAATAACTGGGACTGGACAGAGAAATCTATGAACAATGTACTGGTAGTGGGCAGACCCGCACCGATTGAAGTAGAGAAGACCTCAACCATCTGTTCCCATTAGGTTAAAGAGAAAAAGGGTGTACATACATGGAATGAGTGTCAGGGCAGACATCCACCTTGCCAAGGCAATGACCATGAAGATGACTTAGGTCAGAAGCACCAGTCCAAAGAGTGTAACAGTAGATCGTGAACACACTTAGAGAACCAATGTTTAATCCCACAGAGTCAGCAGGACCAAATGTCCCATAAAAGAATTAGCCAGAGGAAAAAAGATAGAACTCCTCTCAAAACTTTAGGGCACCCCTAGGGTGAAGCCCTATATCTTGTTTATCCTGGATCCTCAATGAGTTACAGGACTAGAGATGCTCCACGTCCCCAAATCCAATGATGCATTTGCGAAGCAAAAGGTAGAAGTGAGGAGTCTTATCAGGACAGTGAACAAACATTTGCTTTGGAAAATCTAAAGCAGGAAAGATTGCCAAAAAGATCTTCCTATCAAGTCTGTGAAACAAAAAGGAGTCAAGGCCTACATTAGGGTGTGCAGATCCAAAAGCGTCATTAATTAGGGAATTCCATGCTACTGCCATAGGGTTCCTGTATTTGGACCCTAGCTTGTCCAAAACACAGGTGCCTAGGGTAACATAGAGCCCCCTGATTCCCTCTGACAATAAAAATTCCCTGGATCAACAATCTGTGGTGTTATTACCTAGTGTTGCAACAATACCAATGTCGATACTAAGAATTTGCACAAGTACTCATACTCGTGCACATGCTCCGATAACTGATACCTTTGTGGTGCAATTTGAGCCCATACAAAATAAATGAGCTCAAATCGCACTGCAAAGAGTTGCATGCGTTTTGAATAGGAATGCTGTGCGATTCCTGTCGAAATCAAAAGTGGTTTGTATGGCTCAAATCACACCACATCCGCAGGGAAACTGTGTTCTTATTCAAAACACATGCAATTCTTTGCAGTGAAATTTTAGCCCATTCATTTTGTATGGGCTCAAATCACACCACAAAGGTATCGGTAATCATTATTGGCAAGTACTTGAACACAGGTATCAGTACTCATACTCGCCAATAAACCACCCGTATCGGTGCAACCCTATTGTTACCTATAAATCTTAATATCCAGTTGTACTTTTTTAGGAATGCATCCAGTTCTCTACTGAGCTGGCCAGAACAATTTCTTGAGGGAGTCTATTCCAAATATTCACAGCTTTTACTGTGAGGAAACCTTTCTGACTGTCATGTTTCACATGACTGTCATATGCCTTTAAGTGTTCTTTGTATTTTGTCTCTGCTCCTCCCTTTCCTTTGGTTTAGTTCATGCTGTATAGATAGCCCCACCATTTTATTCATTTTCCCAGTAACGTACCTCAGATTCAAGCCTCATGTCTTAAGGAGATCACATTATAATCTTTTGACCTATCCAATGTTCATTGTTGTAAGATTCTCTCAGTTTATGGAATAAACTTCACAAGATCTTCAAGGTGTCGTATGGATCGAGTCACTGCCTGTGTTATTCAACTAAGACTGGAGTTATCGCTATCTCATCACAACTAAGTTACAGAGATCACACTTTCAATGCTTACATTGGAGAGACAGAACACTGACCTTTCTGTAAGTACATGAAAATTTTATTTTTTTCTGAACAAAAAATATTTCCTTCCAGTCTTGGACAATAGCCCTTAGTCCTTACTTTCCAACTAGTTACGGTAGCTCTGAAGGGGAAAAGGTTTTTAACACAACTGTCTACATTTCACTCACAACAGTAAGTCTTTAGTGATGGGGAAAGGTTAACTATTGCAGCTCTGGTCCAGAAAAGCTGAAAAAAATCTCCAGATATACTGCCTGACCTGAAAAGTCCTTTGGTAACAGAACATATACAGCTTGCCAATGCCGTCTGCAGGCTATCGCAGAAAGGTTAAAAACACCATTTATTTAAAGAACTGGAAAAAAAAACCTGCCCTCATTCCGTAACTAGAGAGACTTCCAGGATTTCCAATATTTGGCCTGAAATCAGTAGCAGTTATTGGAAAAAACTTCCAAATTAAGCAGACTATAACAGACAGGAAAGAACATGCATTTCTAAAGGACATAACACAGTGGGTGCTATGGGAGGGGTCATAGCCCCAATGGGGTTTGCATTCAGTTTCCTATGTGCCTAGTGTCCATTTCTCCTGTAGACAGAGGTGTAACCCTAGGTTTCTTATTATCATCATCAAGCTGTGACCCCAACGTGTGACAGAGGGGAAAAAAAAAATAGTTAAAATACTCCCCCACAAACATATAAAAACAATCAAGGTGCACGTATGTACATAAACGCCTACAGAGGAATTCCGTTTAGGCTAAACCTCCTCCCACCCCCATTCTAAACCTATTCTATCTAACCCTGTAAAGAAATGATCCCTATATTTACCTATTCTGAAGCTGCACTGGTTCGGTCCCAGGATCAGCTGTCAGTGGTGGCTTCTGTGTAGAGGAGGGACAGCCAACAATGAATGCCCCATAGTAAGTCTATGGGTGATGTCATCTCCCAGGCATTTGCAGCCCAGCCGTTGTCAGCTTTCTCTCCTGCACACAGAAGACCGGAGCAGAGCGGCTTCAGAATAGGTAAGTATAGGGATCTTTTCTTTACAGGGTTAGATAGAGTAAGTTTAAACTGGAGGATGGGAGGTTTAGACAGCATTAGACAGCCTTGCATACACCATAAACAGAATGAGTTTCAGGGCCATAATTTTAGCATAATTCTGAATTCAGGCAATAGAATGCCGCATCAGTCCAGAATTGGATATGTTGTGACTGCAGCATGGTTAAGGGACATATGCATTCAGGGTAAAAGTCAAGGCCCCCAAGTGCTCACAAAACACGGACAGTTGGTAGTAGGTGAGGGTTAGTGACGAGAGAGTTGGATAGTTGGAGGTGACTAAAGTCCCTGTATACGCAGGCAGTAGGAACAAATTGAAGTTCCTCTTTGCGTTTTACAACAAAAGCAGCAGAAGAAAGACGCTTCCTTGACACTGTATGATTGAAGTTCCACAGTGTTTATTCCTTCCAAAGCCGACAAGAAATGGGGAATAAAGGTGCCCAGTGACCAATGAAAATTAGGGAGTTCCCGCCTACATACTGAGTCTTTAAAGACAGGCAGTGCCTGCGGCTCTGAACCTTGAGAGCCCTCCACAGGTAACCTAACCAGTGCTAGGTCTTGAAAGCGCTTACACGAAAGCCAGTGCCTAAAAGTCACCTCCAGGCTAGTCCTGCAACATCCAGTTCATGGTACAGATGTGGTATGGTCCAGAAGCCAGGCTGAGAAAAACTGTGATAAATAGCTGCAGATTAGAGGGAAACACTCCAGCAGCGGTGTAGAGAAAAGTCCTAACTGAAGTAAAAATCGCAACACAATCACAGGCTAGTCTGTAAAACAGCAGAGCTGAAGAAAAGATGCCCATTTTCTTTTGGTATTCCTAAATTCACACTGAGGACAACCACAATGACAATGAATAGCTGTAGTCAAAGAGAAAAAGTTCGAGAAGGGATGTAGGAAAGTCTTGTTTGAAAAAATATTGAACAAAAAATGTACTGACAAAAATTGGCTAGTCTTTAACACAGAGGATCTGGCGTCCATTCTCCTAGGACACCAGCAAAAAACCGAGGCATGCCAGTAGTAGGAGAGACCATCCTGGGCTGGCCAATAGGTTTTTTTTTTGTTTGCCAGTGTTCAATCCTCCTGTGGGTGGCAGCATACCCTGCAGGTTTAAGACTTCTCTCAAAGGATGAAAAAAACAAAACAAAACGTCTTTTTGTTGACTTAATGTTTTAAAGAACAAATGCATATTTAGTACAGCTGTCCTTTAATTACTTGCCCTCACCCTCCAAATACACTCATTTGGATAAATACTCACCCTTAGCCCTGATCCAGCAATATATACTGTTACGGCCCTCTTGTAGACAGTCACCCAAAAAATATTCCTGTTGGGCTGTGTAGTTACCTTATTCTTTTCTTTGGGAAGCCATACTTAGAGGGGCCTTCAGTGACAATAAGGCTACGTTCACACTAGCTTTGTCAGCAGGCATCAGTCAGGTGTTTGGGAAGCGGTTTTAACGCTTCTCAAACGCCTATGAAAATTCTGCACATGGCAACACACAGTGCTGTTCACACCGTTAGCGTTGCGTCGTGGCAAAACTGATGCCTCATGTCGAGTCAGGAGGAGTTGAAGCTTCCCATTCAAGTCTATGGTGCCACTCTTAAACGCCTGGCAGGAGTTTGCAGTGCAGTTGCGAGGCGGTTGCGAGGCATTTGTGGAGTGCTAATACCCTTTAACTTCATTATAGGTGTTTGTGGTGTGGTTTGAATGCTTGGCAAACGCCTCAAAAGCACGCATAGGGCGTTTGAGGAGCGTTAAAAACGCTTCCCAACACCTGTCTAGACACCTGTCTAACACCTGTCAAACGCAATAGGTTAAGTGTGAACGAAACCTAAGGAATACAGCTCTTCCAGTAAGGATCCTTTAGAGCTCAAACATGTGCGGTGAGGATTGAAGCTCAGGTTTCACAGCTAATTGACACAATAGTTGTTCAACGGTTCAGATCAGGTTTACATCAGGTTCAGGATAGGATTAGGCAAGGATTTTATCCTGTTCACACACATGTGCAATTTAGAAATGCCCATAGAAGTCAATAGCCTGTAATCCGTACCTGAACTGGACCGCACTGCTCATAAATCAGACAGGACTCTTTTTCATTTTGCACCGCCAGTGCACCGGATATATGTGAACAGGCACAATAGGAAGCAATGTTATTTCACATGTCATGCAGATTGGATGTGGTTCAAAACGCATCCAATCCACATATATGTGAATTAGCACTTAATCTTTACTAGTTTATAAATTGGTTTTGTATATTTTTAGATTTGTATAAAATCTTTATTTTACAAATAGAGTGCATTTCATGACAATTTGTTTGCAAACCATAAAGGGTTTTCCAAAATAAAGCCCAGCACTTTCTGCTTACTTTTTGATCGTCGCTGTCTAACTGAAATCCCTATGGGTATATAGCTCCTTAAAAAGGGAGGGCTATATGTCACTCCTCAGACTTATTTAGCTGTGTTTTTAACTTCATATCCTGTTATTAAAGTCTATTCAAAACAAAGAATATTCAGGCTATTCACAGCAGGACAAGCATTAAATTACTCAAAAGTAGTTTTAACCACATCAATGCTGGGCACTTTTACCCCCTTCCTGCCCAGGCAAATTTTCTTCTTTCAGTGCTGTCGCACTTTGAATGATAATTGCGCGGTCATGCAACACTGTACCCATATTACATTTGTATAATTTTTTTCACACAAATAGAGCTTTCTTTTGGTGGTATTTAATCACCACTGAGTTTTTTATTTTTTACTAAATAAAACAAAAACAACCTGAAACTTTTGAAAAAAAACGCACACTTTTCTTCGTTTCTGTTATAAAATTTTGCAAATAAATACCATTTCTTCATAAATTCAGGTCAAAATGTATTCTGCTACATTTCTTTGGTGAAAATAATAAAAACTTAATTTGTCTTTTTTTCCAAAATTTTCTATTATTTTTTATTACATTATTTTTTTACTATTTTTTTTTCAACACACTGTGACCAAAGCAATACAATGTCACCATTGTAACATTAAACTACTCTGGGCAAGTCATCAAGACTTTTCTTTTTTTTTTTTAACACATTATGATTGTATTTCATTGATATCTGCAACCATCTGAATAAAACTGATTCATTCAGTCTTTTGTTGTGATTAGCTGTGACTGGGCAAAGCTGATCTCATGATACAGATGGGCTGTGATTGGCCCTGTCTGTATCATGTGACTGCTTTGACCAGTCACAGCTAACAACATAATTGTATACAATGGATGGCATGACAGGAAGCCATCCTTTGCATACAACTGATGTGATCTGCTATGATTGGTCACAGCGGTCACATGACACTGGCAATGGACCAGTGTAGTAATATGTCATCATCTGTGTCTTGTGGACACAGCCGGTGAAAGATCGTGCTGCTGCGCGCCCCCATGAGCAGCGCGTTTTGACAGGACGTCATATGACACGCAGTCACAACGCAGAGTGTCCTGCCCAGCCGTCAATCTGCAATAGGCTGGGCGGGAAGGTGTTAAGCATGCACCCTGCAGGACACAAGTGGCACAGAAAGAAAATTCATGAATGAAAATAAATAAAAATGATGCAACACAAGTTTTATTCCTGTGCACAATAAATCACAAATATACAAAACAGTATGTATTTCCTTCAAATGATCTTGTTACAGTTGATCTTAATTCATTAACTCACCTGGCTGGTATATGTGAGCTGGCAGTCCCGCTGCGTAGAGGATTCTGGGCCTGTCCTAGAGTGCTTTGAAGATTTCCATTGATATTTCCCAATATGCTGTTCAGTGAGAGCATTCCCCAGGATTTCCAGAGAGAGCTCCGAGAAGAGGAAGAGTTGCTAGTGTAGGGGGGCCTCCAGGGCCTGCACCTCGTATCAGCCCATTCATTAGCTGCTCTGCTCCCATGGCAGGAAGTGATGGTGCTGTCTGAGGCAGAGGGCCTGGGGGAGGAGTACTATGCAATGACAGACAGGAACTGCTTCTGCTTGGGCAGCCAGAGTGTGGATCCTGTAAATGGGAGATATTAGAAAAATAAAAAAAGTGAAAAATATCTCGATATGTTCTTGAGATGCAGGCTAAATATTGGGAAATGCAACTGAAGGAATGACAAAGACAATGAGAAAAAAAGCAGTAAATATACTAACATAGACTAATTCTAGGTTCACACTCATGCAGTGCAGTAAATCGTATGTGATTCGCACAGGAACCACACCGTATTCCTGTGCAAATCACATGCGAATTGTGCGCGGTGCGATTCGAGCCATACATTATGTATGGCTCAAATTGCACCGCATCAGCTCCAAGAGGGTGCAGAACCCTTTTTTGGGTCTGCACTAGAATCAGATCCCATGGGTATTCACACCTATGCAATTCGATTCTGCATAATGTACCGTTTTGTTTGCGGACCGATTTTGCCCCATTGTTGGTGTCAGTGGCAGGAATAATGCCTCAAAGGCTAGATAAAGGCAAGCAAAGGTCTGCATCTGGTTTGCAGACCACTGCTTCAGACCATACTCCTAGATGATGGTCTGTCTGAGCCACCAAGACATGGTGGAAGAAGAAGCTTATGCACCCTTTTAAGATTCATCTGGGATGACAAGAGAATCAGTCTTTCTGGAAAAAGCAGTAGCCGAGGAATAGACTTTAATATTCTGAACCACATCAAGACAATGGAGATAAATTTCCTTCTAGTGAACTGGAAACATTGTCCTGGTTGAGGCAGAAACTTTCTTAGGCAACAAGGAAGTCTCAGGCCTTAACACCACCTTGTCTCTATGCAAACCCAGAAAGTAGAAAGAGGAATGTCTCGCATAGGTTCAAATGGTGGTTTCTGAAGCAGAGGGAACCACATTCAGATCCCACACAGTCACAGGGCGACAGATGAAAGTAGCCACATAGAAGCACACCTGTACAAAAGTTCTTAATCAAAAAGTAGGAAGAGGACAATCACTGAAACAGAACAGAAGGGGCAGAAACCCGACCCTTGATATGCCTCAGAGCCAAAATCAGGTCTAGAAGCATCTGCAGGAAGGAGAGGGTTTTTCCTATTGACAATCATCTGGGATGGATGCCCTCATTCGATGAGAGACTTTGCAGGAAGTAAACTTCTTAGCTTTTAGGATTGTAGGAACCATGGAGCCACCAGAGCATTCACTGTTTCCATTAGATGATCTCTGTATCTGAAGACACACTTGTCCAGCTTGTTAAATATGGAGGCCAGGAATTCCACATCCAGCATCCCCCACCTGCAACACAAGTCCTGAAACGCTTCCAAGTCAGAGGACCGCTCTCCCCAGATTCAGGTGCTGAGGGCTAAGGAAATTCTGCCTGTCAGTTGTCTACATCTAGATTGTGCATGGCTGGAATGTGAAGTTCTACCCAAGACAGGATTGGAACTGCCTCTTGATTAGTTACATAGTAAGGTTGAATAAAGACACCAGCCCATCCAGTTCAACCTATGTGGGTGTGTGGGTGTTCATGTCAAAAATCCTATCTCATATCCCTGTATATTGTCCTTGCTAAGATGCCCATCTTAGGGAGTTTTTTTTTTAAACTATAGATACTTCCCACTAACACTACTGATTGAGGAAGTGAGCTCCACATCCTTACCACCACCCTGACAGTGAAAAACTCCCTACGCAGTTTAAGATTAAACCGCTTTTCCTCCAATTTTACTGAGTGATCCCGTGTCTTACACTCCCTGAGACTGACTAGTTTATTCCTTATGTTAGAATCGCCATTGAGGTATTTGTATATCGCTATCAAACTCCCTCTCAGGCGATTCTTCTCCAGGGAGGATAAGCTTAATGTTTGTAGTCATTTCTCATAACGGAGGTCCTCCAGCTCACTTATTAACTTTTTTGCCCTTCTCTGGACTCTCTCCAGCTCCAGTGCATCCTTCCTGAGGACTGGTGACCAGAACTGGACGACATACTCCTGATGTGGCCGGACCAGAGTTCTATAAATTGGCAGGATAATAGTTTTTATCTCTTAAGTAAATACCCTTTCTTTATGCATGCTAATATTCTGCCAGCTTTGCTTGCTGCAGCTTGGCATTGCATGCCATTGGTGAGTCTGATCTACTAGGACCCCAGATCCTTTTTCCATCCTGCATTCTGCCAGATGTCCTTCCCCTAGTGAGTAACGCACGTTAATATTTTTAGCCCCGAAGTGCATTACTTTACATTTTTCAACATTAAACCGCATTTGCCATGTAGTTGCCCACCCCTTTTATTTTATTAAGGTTCTCTTGTAAAATTTCTATATAGTGCTCTGATGTTATTGCCCTACTTAGCTTTGTATCATTAACAAAAAAGCAGATTTATACCAACCTCTATATTATTTACGAATAAATTAAACATAATTGCTCCTAGGACAGAGCCCTGGGGTACCCCACTTACCACTCCAGACCAGTCTGAGTAGATGCTATTTATAACAACCCTCTGGATGCGCCCCTGTAACCAGTTTTCTATCCATGATAAAACCCTATGGTCTAAGCCTACAGACCTCAGTTTGTACATTAGATGTTTATGAGGGACTGTATCAAATGCTTTTGCAAAATCCAGATACACCACATCCATCGCCCTTCCTTTATCTAGATTACATTTCACTTCCTCATAGAATATTAACAGGTTAGTTTGGCAAGAATGACCTTTCGTAAAGCCATGCTGATTACTACAAATGATACTATATTCATCAGCAAAATCTTGGCTATTGTAACATATTATCCCCTCCAACAGTTTACATATTATCAATGTTAAACGGACTGGCCTGTAGCTTCCAGGAATATATACCTCTGCCCTTTTTTAAATACTGGTTCCACATTGGCCCTTCGCCAATCCATTGGTACCATTTCTATCAGAATGCTGACTATAAAAATTAGGAATAATGGTCTGACTTTGACCTGACTGAGTTCTTTGAGAATTCTCAGGTGTAAGCCATCTGATCCAGGTGATTTATTTGCTTTAAGCTTATTATTTTTATTATTTATTTCAGGTACTTATATAGCGCCGTCAATTGACGCAGCGCTTTACATATATATTGTACATTCACATCAGTCCCTAACCCTCAAGGGGCGTACAATCTAAGGTCCCTAACTCACATTCATACATACACATACTAGGGCCAATTTAGACAGGAGCCAATACACCTCACAGCATGTCTTTGAAGCTTTCCAAGTCTTTTTCTGACACTGGCTTCTGTAAGCCACAAGAGTACATTCTGTAATGCGTTACTAATGATACAGTCTTGATCACGATACCCCTTCTTTTCCTTTGTAAAAACTGAGGAGAAGAATGCATTTAGTACAGTTGCCTTCTTCTTATCATTTATAACCAACTTCCCTTTATCATTCTTAATGGGGTCAATATGTTCTGTCCTCTCTTTTTTCTATTATATTTTAAAGAATTTTGTTTTTTGTTTGTTTTACTCTTCTCCGCTATGTGTTTCTCGGGGTCTATCTTAGCCACCCTGATTGCGTTCTTACATTTCTTATTGAATTCCTTGTAGTGCTGAAATGCCAACAATGACCCCTCCCTCTGCCTTATATTTTGTAAAGGCCTTTTTCTTCTCTTTAATATGTATTTTTGCATTAAAGTTTAGCTGCCCAGGTTTAATCTTAGCTCTTTTATATGTGTTGCCTATTGGAATGCACTGACTTAAACCTCTATTTAACCCCTTGCCTACTGGGCACTTTTACCCCCTTTCTGCCCAGGCCAATTTTCAGCTTTCAGAGCGGTCGCACTTTGAATGACAATCATGCAACACTGTACCCATATGAAATTTTTATAATTTTTTTCACACAAATAGAGCTTCATTTTGATGGTATTAATCACTACTGGGTGTTTTATTTTTTGCTAAACAAATGAAAAAAATAGTGAAAACTTTAAATAAAAAAAAAGTTTTTCTTAGTTTCTAAGGCTGGACTGATAGGCAGCAATGATGGGCACTCATAGACGGCACTGATAGGTGGCACTGACTGGCAGCACCAATGGACACTGGCAGCACTGATGGGCACAGATTGGCAGCACTACTGGGCACTAATTGGCAGCACTGATGGATACTGATGGGCACTTATGGGGCTGTGCTGATAATCAGCGCCCTGATCAGTGTAGATGTCTGCTTTCACAGAGTTAAAGAGAACCCTGAGGATGGAATAGACCCTAAGAACAGTGGGCAACATGATTCAAAGCTGTAGTCATCTGCACCATCAGAACACAAGTTGCAGCCAGCCTTGAAACTGCTAATAGAAAGTGAGCTGGGGCAACCAGTACAGTGGGACTTTTCCCTTCATGCTTAGAATCAGGCATGTTGTGACCACATGTTGGTAAGGCTTGAAGTAAGAGAAAAAGCCTCAGGTACTCACAAAACCCTGACAGCTGCTGATGAGCGTTGGGATGACCTGAGGTGACCAAAGTTACTGTAGTGAACAAGAGGAATGAAAGAAGGAAGATGGAAGTTTCATATGGATCGTGCAAGCAGGAGTTGCAGTGGGGAGATGCTCCCTCAATGCTATGAGGTGGTGAAGACAGAGCAGAGTGTATATGACACTCCACCCAGCTGATGGCGACAGCGTTAACTCCTTCCGAGGCAAAAACCTTCAGGAATGAAGATTCATATAAGGCAACTCCTGATGCTTGGCCTGACCAGTCCACTCGATAAAGGAGTCTTCAGACATGGGGCTTGTGATGAGGTAATGCCAGTGGTTGCGGACCTGGAAAACGCTCCACAGCTAACAAACCAGAATGAAGTATGGAAAGTGTCCCATGAGGAAGTGCCTGAAAGCCACTTCTAGACTATCCCTGCAACATCCAGTCCAGTGGGGTCCAGCCAGAGTCTTCAAAAAGCCAGGATGAAGACAACTGCGCTGGATAGTTTGCAAGCAAAGAGAAAAGGAGCCAGTAGGGAGGTCGAGAAGTGTCTTGTTTGAAGAAAAATTTGCAAAGCATTGGTTAGTCTTTAACACAGCAAATCTGAAAATAGGCAGTCTATTGCCATAGAATACTAGCAAAGGCATGTTGGTAGTAGCTGGGTTACCCTGGGCTGACCTTTAGGGGGTTTTTTTTTTTTTTTTGCCAGTGTCCAATCTTCCTGTATGCGGTAGTATAACCTAAATGTTTAGGACTTCCTGTGTCTCTCAATCCTATGCATTTTTTAGTCTACACTAAATGGAGAGTACACTTGATAAAAAAAAGTTTCCATGATAAGTGCAAATTCCATGATATTCCTTTTTGCATGTACACGAACAGAACAATGAAGTATGGCCAACGGGCATCTTGCAATCTTCCCTCCTCCTCCCATCAATCTCACCTCAGAAGGAGAGTTCTCTGTTCGAAAGCTGCTCTTTGATGTGGGACTCTTATTGCTGAAGGAGTCCTGCGAACTCACTGCGGGCAGAGAAGAAACAGACACTGTTAAAGAACAACTGTCACCGGAGAATTATATAAGGTGCCATTACTGACCTCTCCCTTTGAAAATGCTAGTTCTCTGCCTACCATGCAAATGCTTTCAGTTGCTGCCCTGGAGCAAAGTATTCTCCTTTTTTCACACTCAATTACAGGACAGCAATGGCATATGCAGTACATCTCTCATGATACAGTCAGGTCCATAAATATTGGGACATCGACACAATTCTAACATTTTTGGCTCTATACACCACCACAATGGATTTGAAATGAAACGAACAAGATGTGCTTTAACTGCAGACTGTCAGCTTTAATTTGAGGGTATTTACATCCAAATTAGGTGAACGGTGTAGGAATATTTACAACAGTTTGCATATGTGCCTCCCACTTGTTAAGGGACCAAAAGTAATGGGACAATTGGCTTCTCAGCTGTTCCATGGCCAGGTGCGTGTTATTCCCTCATTATCCCAATTACAATGAGCAGATAAAAGGTCCAGAGTCCATTTCAAGTGTGCTATTTGCATTTGGAATCTGTTGCTGTCAACTCTCAAGATGAGATCCAAAGAGCTGTCACTATCAGTGAAGCAAGCCATCATTAGGCTGAAAAAACAAAACAAATCCATCAGAGAGATAGCCAAAAATTAGGCGTGGCCAAAACAACTGTTAAACATTCTTAAAAAGAAGGAACGCACCAGTGAGCTCAGCAATACCAAAAGACCCAGAAGACCACAGAAAACAACTGTGGTGGATGACTGAAGAATTCTTTCCCTGGTGAAGAAAATACCCTTCACAACAGTTGGCCAGATCAAGGAACACTCTCCAGGAGGTAGGTGTATGTGTGTCAAAGTCAACAATCAAGAGAAGACTTCACCAGAGTGAATACAGAGGGTTCACCACAAGACGTAAACCATTGGTGAGCCTCAAAAACAGGAAGGCCAGATTAGAGTTTGCCAAACGACATCTAAAAAAGCCTTCACAGTTCTGGAACAACATCCTATGGACAGATGAGACCAAGATCAACTTGTACCAGAGTGATGGGAAGAGAAGAGTATGGAGAAGGAAAGGAACTGCTCATGATCCTAAGCATACCACCTCATCCGTGAAGCATGGTGGTGGTAGTGTCATGGCGTGGGCATGTATGGCTGCCAATGGAACTGGTTCTCTTGTATTTATTGATGATGTGACTGCTGACAAAAGCAGCAGCATGAATTCTGAAGTGTTTCGGGCAATATTATCTGCTCATATTCAGCCAAATGCTTCAGAACTCATTGGACGCCGCTTCACAGTGCAGATGGACAATGACCCAAAGCATACTGCAAAAGCAACCAAAGAGTTTTTTAAGGGAAAGAAGTGGAATGTTATGCAATGGCCAAGTCAATCACCTGACCTGAATCCGATTGATTATGCATTTCACTTGCTGAAGACAAAACTGAAGGGAAAATGCCCCAAGAACAAGCAGGAACTGAAGACAGTTGCAGTAGAGGCCTGGCAGAGCATCACCAGGGATGAAACCCAGCGTCTGGTGATGTCTATGCGTTCCACACTTCAGGCTGTAATTGACTGCAAAGGATTTGCAACCAAATATTAAAAAGTGAAAGTTTGATTTATGAATATTATTCTGTCCCATTACTTTTGTTCCCTTAACAAGTGGGAGGCACATAGGAAAACTGTTGTAATTCCTACACCGTTCACCTGATTTGGATGTAAATACCCTCAAATTAAAGCTGACAGTCTGCAGTTAAAGCTTGTTTGTTTCATTTCAAATGCAGTATAGCCAAAAATGTGTGTCGATGTCCCAATATTTATGGACCTGACTGTATGTGTACTTTAAACAAATCAGAATCTTGTGCAACGGTAACTTAAAGGGCCACTCGATGAAATCCATCAAACAAGGGAAAAGTAAGTATAGTATAGAAAACTGGGTTTTGGTACTCACCGTAAAATCCTCTCTTGATGTTCATTGAGGGATACAGGATTCAGAGTTATGTAGGCTATTCCACCTACTGAAGGATTTTAACAGTGGCAAACAAAACAACACTGATCAGCCTTGTATACCCTCTCTCACTCCCAGCATGTCTCAGTTTTGTAACAAAGCAATGCTGACCGCAAAACCATAAACACAAAGGCCCGTGTACCTTAACCACCTTCATGACCAGGGCATTTTTTTTGCTAATCAGCACTGTGCTACTTTAACTGGAAATTGTGCAGTCAAGCAACCCTGTACGCCAATGAAATTTATACCATTTTTTTCACACAAATAGAGCTTTCTCTTGGTGGTATGCAATAACCACTGGCCGTTTTATTTTTGCGATATAAACAAAAAAGTCCAAAAAATTTAGACGATAAAAAAGCCTGATATTTATAAAACATATATATATATATAAAAACAAAACAATATTTCTACGTAATTTAGGCCAATGTATTCTGATACATGGCTTTGGGAAAAAAATCCCAGTAAGTGTATATTGATTGGTTTCTGCAAAAGTTATAGCATATACAAACTATGGTATATACAGTATACTGGAATATAAGCAGCTATGAGGCTATACTGGTATTGACTGACACTGACATCGCTAGTGACACTAATACAGTGATCAGTGATGATACTGTACACTGACATTGTACTAATAACATTAAATGGGAAAAGGTTAACATCTAGGGGCAAAAAAGGGATTAAATATGTGCCCATGCATTTCCGCATGCGCTGTTTTTGACGCATTTTTGGCGCATTCCAGTGTGTTTTTGATGCGTTCTGGTTAATTTTTCCCCCCCTCTTTTTCTTAAATTTAAATAGGGGCATGTGCATTCCAGCGCATTTTCGGTGCGTCTAGTACGTTTTACTGCTTTCCGGAACAGTTTGTGCAGGAAAAAAGGAGCTTGTTCTACTTTTTTTTCTGCAACCGGAATGCACTAGAACTGCAAACAGTGATGTGAACTATGATACCGACAACCATATAACCTACTTTCTGTGCATTTTGGATGCAGAAAAAAAGCAAGCTGAAAAGCATGTAGTGTGAACTGGCCCTTACCATTTCCGCCTGGATGTTTTTTCTCCGTGTACACTGATCAGTGTACAGATCCCTGTGTGTTCGTAAACACAGGGCTCTGTGCTGTGATTGGACACAGCCGATCAGTAGTTCTCAGCCATGAATCACTGGCCGGGACCTGCTGAAGAAACTGCACACCTGCAAACCTGGAAGAGCTCTGCCGACACACAGGTACTTGATTCTAGCAGAGCTGTGCCGCTCGCCTGCAGTAGTAACGACTGTGGGAGGCAAGTAGTTAATGAACTGTAAGAAAAGGAAAATGGGATTTTTTTTTACTCACCGTAAAATCCCTTTCTCTGAGTTCATTGATGGACACAGCTGCTTCTTCTTGATCCATGACCAAGCAGGGTTTATTAGCCCCACCTTCAGGAGTAGGACACTAGGAAGAAAAAAAAAAACACTCAGCACCTCCTATGGGCAGTCCTCTCTAGGCATAAAACCCCCTCTCTGCTATAGGCCTCCAGTCAGTCACAAGCAGTGTCAAAGGAGAAACTTCACAGAGGGGTGGGGGGTGTGTTGTGTCCGTCGTAGCAAAAAAAAAAATCCAATTTTCTCTTATGTTCATTGACGGACCACAGCTGCTTCTTCTTTATCGATGACCAAGCAGGGAAGTCACCAAGTAGTGCCACAATGAGGGGTGGGCAACCAACAAACGGAGGGAAAACCCCAAGCAGCATCCCAACACTTTGAACCACCCCAAGCGTGCCTGAAAGTTTGAAACTGCCGCCTACAAAACCCTGCGGTCAAAACTGCTACTACATAGATCATAGAAACGTGTGCACGGACAACCAACCAAAACTTGAGAAACAGACGCCAGATGTCAGAACATCCAGGAGGTGCTAACCACCCTAGTAGAGTGCGTCATAACAGGGAAGGGAGGTACCCAACCCTAAATGGCATGTGCCTGCACAATCATCTGCTGATCAAACGGGAAACAAAGGCAGATAAGGCTGCCAGCCTTTCATTGGACTATCCAAGAGCACAAAGAGAGAATAGAACATTCCACAGGCAGCTGTCATAGAAAGGTACAAGCAATCGCAAGAACCACGGTCAAGGGGTGCAGAGCTACCTCTTCACGGAAGGGTTGCTGAGGACACAGAGAAGGAAGGACTATGTTCCCATGCAAATGGAAGGCCGACACCACCTGCAGAAGGACAGAAGGAAAAAGTTAAAGCACCACTTTGTCCTAGAGAAAACCAGAAAGTGTGGCTTAGAAGACAAAACCACCAACTTAGGCACCATCTGAGCCGAAGTGAAAAAAAACTACCTGTGAAAATTCAAGGAAGGGAATATTCGGATGCTCCCAAGGGGAGGCTTCTAAAGAGTAGACAGCACCAAATTCAAATCCCACACTGGCATCAGGGAGCGTGCAGAAGAATAATTGGGTAGATTAGGGATGTGACACTACATGACGAACCCCCGGAATAAGAGTGTGAACCAAAGAACGCATGGCCAAGGGACGTGGAAAGGGGAACTTTGTCCCTTGAATGCATTCAACACAAGTTACTGATCCACACCACTGAGGAGGAAGGCCAACACCCAAGCCACCGAGAAAGAGAGAGGGTGAAACCCACGGCCTCACACTAAATGACAGAAGCTCCCCAGATGCGAAGATAAATCTGCCAAAAAAGGACTTACGAGCCCTTACATAGACGGGATTACCAAGCCAGACAACCCCCCGTCCTTCAACACCTGGCTTTCAAGAGCCACACCATCAAGGCCAGCAATGGGAAGGCAGGGTGGGAGTACCAGCCTATGGGACAAAGGTCCTTCCCAAGAGGTAACCGCCAAGGAGTGTCCGCCATCAAAGGTACCCGTGGGCAAACCACGGATAGCAAGGCCACACCGGAGACAACAGAATGGCCAAAATCCTTTAGGCATTAGTCCTGCACAGTAGATAAGGAACCAGTCGAAGGGGCAGAAAGGCATAGATGA